TGGGATACATCACAAAACAGGTCCCACTCTATGAGACCCCTAGGAAGGATCCACAAGCAGGAGACTATAGCAGTGTGAGTTAAAAGTCAAGGTCAGCCCCAGGATTCATTGGGGAGAAAACAATCACCATTGTCACATGTAAGAGGATATAAGGTAGAGGGTCTACAAATTTCTCTAGGACCATAAGACACCAACCACCACAGGGTCCTGTCATGTAGCCCAGCTAGGAGAAAAAAAGAAATGTATTTCAAAGAATGGCAGAAGGCGTACTACCAATACATTTCCCAAATTTTAGTGGCAGTGTTGTGTTAGCCAGGACTCCTGAATCACACTAGGTTACTGCAATGAAATATAATAACTATTGGCTTCCTAAGCCTTTAATGGCTTATACACGTTATATTGTATATATTGTATACAATAAATTGTCTGAGAAGTATTAATCATATGTCCATGCTGTCAAGGACGACGTGCTAAAAAAGTCCAAGTGAAGCAATTATATCGCAAGCACTGATGAGATTTCACACGTAGCAAATAGTTGTATTATATACTATGACAGTAAATTTGGATCAACTAAGTGCTGAAGAGAATCACATTTTTCAAAAATTCATTTCAGTAGAGGAAAGAGATGACTTGGCGAAAGAAAATGGTTTCAGAAGAGATATAGCATGATGGGGTTTCTTTGGAGGTCAGGGACTGGCTGGAAAGGAGACTCTGCCCACAGAGAAAACAGAAGCAGGAGATCTGCTGCGCGCTTGCAGAGTACTCTCTTGTGACCCAAGCTATCTGAGTGGCATGTTACGTGAAACACAGAAGCAGCCAGCACCTCGTCTGAAGTGAAGGATGCATCCTATACTTTTCCCTAGGTTGCTTGATTGCATCTCTTTCCAGGCATGATGAATCAATAGCAGACACAACTTCTCCACAGAGTAGCTTTGATAGTTAAAAAGGAAGTACGTTCTCAAGTACTAGAACCCAAAGATGGAATATGCATACCTAACCCTAGTTAGAGATAAGCAAAAAAGAAGCTTGACTTTCAAAATAATTTGTTTTCCATATAAACATGTAAAAATAAGATTGGGGTCATATCCTATAGAGCAATGAATCATTATGGAGAAATGACTGTGTGGAGATTCATTTTAATTTCTTCCTACAACATTCAAAGGAATTCAAATACTGAAAGGATATCTCAAAAACATAAAACACTTTGCAAGCCACACATGTAAAAATAACAGAGGTAAACATAAAGAATATTTTCTTTTCTAACATATCAGGAAATAAGAAATTATCTAGATGTTTCATTAATTTTGCAAAATTAAAGATTTTTTCCATAACTTTCTGGTGAGAGCATAAACAAACTCGGACTAAGACTGATTGTCTCATCTTTGAAAATTTACAATGAATAAAAGCATTACTTGTTTTTGAAGTTAACTTAAAATTGAGATTAATAGTTCCACTAAACATGAATATATTTTGTATATATTCACATATGTGTGTTTTGTATAAACATGTATGGGGGGGTTGTAACTATAAAGTATTTTAATTAAGTTATTTTTTCTATTATCAGGAAGTTATATAAACCTGTAAACTAACTCCTGAAGTAAATGAATAATTCCTGGGACTTCCCTGGTGGCACAGGGGTTAAGAATCCACCTGCCAATGCAGGGGACACGGGTTCAATCCCTGGTCCTGGAAGATCCCACGTGCCGTGGAACAACTAAGCATGTGCGACACAACTACTGAGCCTGCACTCTAAAGCCCACGAGCCACAACTACTGAGCCCATGTGCCACAACTACTGAAGCCCACGTGCCTAGAGCCCATGCTCTGCAACGAGAGAAGCCATTGCAATGAGAAGTCCGCGCGCCACAACGAAGAGTAGCCCCCGCTCGCTGCAACTAGAGAAAGCCTGCGCGCAGCAACGAAGACCCAACACAGCAAATAATTAATTAATTAATTAATTAATTAACAATAAAAATAAATTGTCCTGTTTAAAAAAAGAAATGAAAAAAAAATGAAGAAAAATATCAGTCAGGAAAATCTATTCTTTTGTATTAATGAATTGTTGAATATATTAAATACATAAGAAATAAATCAAATACAGATGTTTACACATACATATTTCTATGTTTACATGATGAAAGCTTAGGGTTACTATTCAAGTTATTTATTCCAGTTATATTGATCTGTTGAGACAGAATTGTGATTTTAGCGCCCTCTGCTGGGTTTTCCAGTCACAAACTCAATCTAAAGTCACCATTAGCGTAAAATCAAACATTTGAGACATCAAGTGAGAAATCACTTTTTCAATCCTTGATCACTTTAAGCCTTGGCAAAGATTATATAAATGTTATAATCAATATTTACTTTATTGTAACAGGAATTTATCAATTTTACATTAAGGTGAAGTATGATTATACATTTTTAAAGAGTATAATATAAAAGTTACACTAAACAAAATGTTTTAAGAAGTCTTATTTTTATCACTTCTTACTTGGCAATACATTCAGGTTTTTAAGACCACATTTATGGACTTCCCTGGTGGTGCAGTGGTTAAGAATCCGCCTGCCGGGCTTCCCTGGTGGCACAGTGGTTGAGTCCGCCTGCCGATGCAGGGGACACAGGTTCATGCCTTGGTCCGGAAAGATCCCACATGCCGCGGAGCAGCTAGGCCCGTGAGCCATGGCCGCTGAGCCTGTGCATCCGGAGCCTGTGCTCCGCAAAGGGAGAGGCCACAGCAGTGAGAGGCCCGCATACCGCAAAAAAGAAAAAAAAAAAGAATCCGCCTGCCAATGCAGGGGACACGGGTTCGATTCCCTGGTCCGGGAAGATCCCATATGCTGCGCAGCAACTAAGCCCGTGCGCCAGAACTACTGAGCCTGCGCTCTAGAGCCCGCGTGCCACAACTACTGAAGCCCACACGCCTCTTAGAGCCCATGCTCCTCAACAAGAGAAGCCACCACAATGAGAAGCCCGCATGCCACAATGAAGAGCAGCCCCTGCTCACCACAACTAGAGAAAGGCTGCGCAGCAACAATGACCCAAGGCAGCCAAAAATAAATAAATAAATAGATTTATTTTTTTAAAAAACACCACATTTATGACATGACATTTTAATAGATCAATATTTTTCTAATTTGATCTATTTTCCCACATTGTTAGTTCAATCAAAATAGTTTATTTTAAAACATCAGAATAATTTTTTTTTTTTTGCGGTACGTAGGCCTCTCGCTGTTGTGGCCTCTCCTGTTGCGGAGCACAGGCTCCGGAGCGCAGGCTCAGCGGCCATGGCTCAAAGGCCCAGCCGCTCCGCAGCATGTGGGATCTTCTTGGACCGGGGCACGAACCCATGTCCCCTGCATTGGCAGGCGGACTCTCAACCACTGCGCCACCAGGGAAGCCCCAGAATAATTTTTAAAAATACTTTCTTCATTATTAGAAAAAAAAACTGCAAAGCTTTAGAGGTACTCACCACTGCTAATAATAGTTTCATTTACTGAGTATCAAGTATGAGGAATACAGTATGTTATACACTTTCCATACATTATGTCCAGTTCTAAGAGATGAAAAAAACTGAGATTCATAGAGATAATATAAATTGCTCAAGATTAATTTCAGAACCAAGATTCAAATGTAGGTGTGTCTCAATCCAAAGACTCAAACCTTTCTACCAAACAATGGGCAGCAGTGGGAAAGAAAAAAGCTTTTAACATACAATTTCTGCATTTGTCAATGCAACAACAACTTACGGTGGGGGGGTAACATATTATTCATACACAAAATAATAGCTTAGACCTTTAGGAAAATATTTTTATTTTACATAATGCTGCCAGCTAGTGGCCCTACTTCATACTGAGCCATTGGGAACAGTACTTGATTTTTACATTACCAAATCAAAAATCCAAGTTTAACATTCTAGAATTATGTTCCTAAATTGGGTATGCATAAGCCTGACTTAATGATATTTTACATTACCACAGAACTAAAGGAGAATGTGTCCTCAACCACCATTAGTATCCCTTACCCAGACCTTGCCCCAACCCCCAAGAAAAATACTGGGAAAGAATTCAGCAAGTGCCAACACAGAGAAACTAAAAGCTATACTTAACACTATCCATGAAAAAGAAACCTACATTACTTTAAATATTTTAGGATAATTTTAGGATAGTTAGATTCCTTAGTGACAAAATACATAAACTTTTTTCTCCACAATCAAAAGCTTGCCATCATGTGGGCATAAGAACAAAATCATTGCCTGAGTATTGTTGGACATTATTCTATGCAGATCGAAAATTAGAGAGCATTTGAGAACGTAGTACTGTTAGCAGAATATGTTATTTTAGTTCAGACAATAAGTAGTTACAGTTGTGAAATTTCCTGAGAAGTATTTGAGTATAATTTTTACATTTAAAATGGTAATATTTCATTGATTATCCACTATCTTAAGAAAAACAGCCTATGCAACACATAAAGGAGTACACCGCTTCTATCATGGTATGTTGTTTAACACAGTGATATAAAGATATTTCTTGTTTGATTTCTTTCATTATGCGACATTATAATTAAATGATTTTCTCAGTGGAGAAATCTATTATGAATTAATCAGAGACTTAGATAAGAAATCAATATATTCTATAATATTATAATAATGCATAAAATAAAATCATTCTGGTATTAAAGCATATTAGCAGCAAGGAAAAATGTTCTGGGTTCACTCTTTAGTGAAAGAGAGAAGAAGTAAGAAGGAGAAACACACACACCCAAACACAGCAAAGAAGGGAGAGACAGCCCCTCTGCTGGACTGATTATCTGAAAAGGTCAAAATGAAAACAAGAAACAAAAGGGATAGTACTGGAGAATCCAGTGTTCCTCCTGACCTATGTTCTGTCACACACACACACACACACACACACACACGTCAATAAAATAAACACTGTGAAAAAAAATTAAAAATTCACTTTAAAAACACTAAAAATATTTCTATACAGTGGGTATATAACTTACAAATATTTCCTGTATTGTCAAAGCTGGTAAGAACATCTTCAACATTCAAAGATCCACTATTATGCCTAGAAAGGAATAAAGCATTTTCTTTAATGATTCTGAAATATTAACATTTATTAATCTTTTAAAAAGCTGAGACTATATTGTGATACGCTCAATACTAATAACCCTTTCCATGTGGTGTTTTTAAAATATTTCTGCCCACTAGAGGGAGAAGGAAAAGAAATAACAGACGAGTCTCTGGGATGTTTAATGTTATGACATTTCTTGATGATTAATCTACACTTTAAAGTACTAATAAATATTTTTATTGTTATTGTTTTAATTATATAAATGTGACATAAATTATTTACCTTTATAAAGACAACAAAACAAAACCCTACACTTTGAGACTCTCAAAATGAAAATAAACAATCAACTTTCATTACCACACTCCACAATACATAAGTTCCTTCTATTATGACCCAACAAATTCAGAACTTCAGTCACAAAGAACTAACCGACCTTCAGGTCTGCACATTCCATTTATAGGGAGTTCTAAATGTCAGGGGGCAACTGTTTTGTATCTTGCTCACTGACCTTAATTCTGTTCCTCTTATTTTTTTTAATAAATTTATTTATTTTTGGCTGCATTGGGTCTTCATTGCTGCACGCGGGCTTTCTCTATTTGCGGCAAGCGGGGCCTACTCTTCATTGTGGTGTGCAGGCTTCTCATTGCAGAGGCTTTTCTTGTTGCGAAGCACAGGCTCTAGGCGCACGGACTTCCATAGTTGTGGCGCGCGGGCTCGGTAATTGTGGCTCACAGGCTCTAGAGTGCAGGCTCAGTAGTTGTGGCACATGGGCTTACTTGCTCCACGGCATGTGGGATCTTCCCGGACCAGGGCTCAAACCCATGTCCCCTGCATTGGCAGGCAGATTCTTAACCACTGTGCCACCAGGCAAGCCCCCAGTTACTGTTTCTTATTCAATTATAAGGCATTAAGATTTGTTCAAAGACTTGCCTATGATCACACAGCAAGTAACTGGAAGAGCTAAAACCTGAACTTCATATTCCATGAACCTTCCATGACCCCACTAAGTTAAAAATAGAGCAATTACCCATAAAAGCCCAAATTTCTCATTTTTTAATCAAACTATCTTACCAAGTATGTGTGTGTATATATACACACACATCTACATAAATGCATTATACGCCTATAACACATAAACACAGTATGCCTTTATTTGAATGAGGAAAAACTTAAATCCAGTCTGACACTCCTGAAGCTTAAATAATTCCACCAATATTATAGACCGTAACTACATTAACACAGTAACAATGAAACAGCAAAACTAAAGATCTGGACTATATTTCCTAAGAGATAGTCACCTTCGGTCTCCCAAATATAGGTAGAAAATGAAAATATTTTGTATTTCAACAAGAATATTTCCTTAAGTAATTACTAACCCAAAAGGGATCAGTTTGGGATACATCACAAAACAGGTCCCACTCTATGAGACCCCTAGGAAGGATCCACAAGCAGGAGACTATAGCAGTGTGAGTTAAAAGTCAAGGTCAGCCCCAGGATTCATTGGGGAGAAAACAATCACCATTGTCACATGTAAGAGGATATAAGGTAGAGGGTCTACAAATTTCTCTAGGACCATAAGACACCAACCACCACAGGGTCCTGCCATGTAGCCCAGCTAGGAGGAAAAAAAGAAATGTATTTCAAAGAATGGCAGAAGGCGTACTACCAATACATTTCCCAAATTTTAGTGGCAGTGTTGTGTTAGCCAGGACTCCTGAATCACACTAGGTGTGACCTGAATCAATAGGTCATAGGGTCTGAGTCACTTTTCCAGTGGCAATTACAAAAAGTTGGTGCTAACATATCTACAATCTTCTACATTCTCCCCTATATAACTTACAGCTGTAGTTCTTTCGGATGTTGTAATAGTTTATAATAACCATTAATAATTCACAATAAGATTTACTTCATCCATACTACTTTGTCATTAAAACTCACCACAAATGATATATACTATTATGGACTGAACTGTGTCGCCCCAAAATTCATATGTTGAAGCCCTAACCCCCAGTGCCTCAGAATGCTACTGAATTTGGACACAGGGCCTTCAAAGAGTTAATTAAGTTAAAATTGGGTCATTAGGGTGAGCCCTTATATATATATATATATATATATATATATCCTTACAAAAAAAGGAGATTAGGACACACAAAGACAACAAGGCATGTGGACAGAGGGACAATCACATGAAGAGGCAGCAAGAGAGCAGCCACATGCAAGTCAAAGAGAGAGGCCTTGGATGAAACCAAACCTGCAACACCTAGATCGAAGACTTCTAGACCCCAAACTGTGAGAAAATAAACTTGCTGTTTAAGCATCCAATCTGCAGTGTTTTGTTCTGGGAGCCCTAGCAAGCTAATACATATAGTAAGAGAACACATGTAAACTGTAATACCCTTTTCAGAACAACATTTTATTTCTATCACAGAGACCAAGTTCCTTCATGGAGTGACCAAGTGAGGATACAAAAAGTTATCTGCAATAATCACTGGCCCAATAACCATTGGGTTCAACAGTATCATAACCTAAGGCAATGAAGTTATCAACCCACAAATCCAACTTTCATCTTCATAACACAATGATTCTGCACCTTCTCTGTGGATGCAAGATTCTAGAAGAGGTTATTTACACCTAACTTTTCCATGTTAGGAAACTACAACATACATGTCAGACAAGAGAAGAAAAAGAACAAAACATTAGACATCTAAAGCACAAGATGAAGCTATTAAAATGATCAGCAATACAGCTTAGAACTCAAAAACTTTTTCCTAAATATAAAAGTAATATACAGTTTCCTCAAGAAAAAACTGCCCATAATCCTATCATGCAGAGGTAACCACAGTTAATAGTTTGGTATATAGCCTTCAAATTTTATGCTATGCTCATAGACCTGTCATTAAATAACTGAGAGTACATTGTCCATACAGTTTTTCAATTTGTATTTTTTCATTTAACATATTATAAAGTTTCCCACATCATTAAATATTCTCCTGCAACATGATTTTAATGGCTGCCAAGCAGTCCAATGAATGCACCATAATTTACTGAACCAACACCTTATGATGGATTTTTAGATTATGCCCACTTTTGTGCTTTATGCATATTGTTTCAATGAACATCCTTGTAGAAACAGCATTGAGCCCCTTTCTGATTATTTCTTTAGGATAAATAACTAAAAGTGAAATTGCTTTATGGCCTAGTTTTAATAAGGACATTCTCTCATGCATATTCGCACACTCTCTCTGTCACTCTCTCTCTCTCTCTCTCTCATCAAGATGAAATAAACATTTGAAAAGAAATCTGAGACAAGAGTTAAAAAATAAAGGTACATATATTTTGCAAGAAGTTAAATATTTCTAAAAAGCAGAAACTGGGATAAAGTAAAATGTATGTTTAAAAGTTAAAAGCAGTATTAAAAATAGAAAGTGTGACACAAAACTTGTCTTCTTGAAAGCATTATTCCTTGAAGCCAAGAAGCAGACATTAAATGGGGTCAGGGTGGGGAGACAGGAAAACTAATCCTATACCTCTAAGTAACTTACAAAAATGAAAATCATTTATCTACGAAGTCTAGAAACCCTAAAAGATGGCATCTCATGAAAGAAAAATGTCAACAATCATTGTCTTCAATGGTATAAGAATTAGTCCTACTTATAGGAAAACTGCCATGAACACAGTGTGGTAAAGATTCAGTTTGATTATTTCAAGTTCCCTTTCATTTGGCCCAAACTCAAGGACTTTTCTTTGTTCAGAGTCATCTGTTCTTTATTCAAGTGTCAACTCTATAAGATTTTGTCTACCCTTAATCTTTCAACTGTTTACCTAGGTCCTGCCTGGACAATGTGGTTATTAGACAGTAATACCTGCAAGGAAGGGACCTTATCAAACTTCAGTTTTACCATTACACTGATAATTAATGTTATATAACAGTCATAACATTTTGCTAACATATCCAGGGTATAAAAAGTTCACTCCATCTTCTCCTAAACTCCGAAGCTTTAACTTGTTTCCCAAGCCTTTAATTTAAATGTTCTCACCACAAAAAAGAAATGATAATTATGTGACATGATAGAAGTGTTAGCTAGTAGTATGGTACTAACCATTTTGCAATATATAAGTGAATCAAGTCATCACAATGTATACCTTACATTTATACAATGTTATATGTCAATTATATCAATATCTCAACAAAGCTGGAAAAAAGTTTACCAGTAGCCAGTTTTTTCTTCCCAAAGCCAAGCAATTTTTTCCACAAGCACCTAAAGCTATGCTAGAACTGAGGACCTTTGAGTTTTTCTAAAGAATGGCCTACGGGGTAAGGATTAAGGAGCAAGTCACTGGGGCAGATGATTATCTGAAGAGGGGAAAAAAAAAAGCTACCAGAGAAACATTTGAAGCCTAAAGGTATCAAGAGATTGAAACCAGAGGTTAAAAGTAAGTGAGGGCTAAATATGGCACCCAAAACACAAACAACAAAAGAAAAAAAAAGATAAATTGAACTTCAACAAAACTAAAACTTTTGTACACCAAAGGACACTATCAAGAAAGTGAAAAGATAACCCAGAAGATGGGAGAAAATATTTGCACATCACATATCTGATATGGGTTAAGTATCCAGAATATATAAAGAAGTCTGAAATTCAATAACAAAGAGACAAACAACCCAATTAAAAATGGGCATAGGAACTGAATAGGCATTTCTCCAAAGAAGTCATACAAATGGCCAATGGCACATGAAAAAACATATAACATAATTAGTCACTGGGGGACTGCAAATCAAAACAGTAAGATTACACCCACTAGAATGGCAATAATACAAAATAATAATAATATAGGAAAAATCATAGGTGCTTGCAAGAATGGGGAGAAACTAGAACCCTCATATATTCCTAGTAGGTAAAATGGCACAGCCACTGTGGAAAACAATTTGGCCATTCTTCAAAAAGTTAAACAAAGAGTTACTCCATGACCCAGTAATTCTGCCCCTCAGTACA